GATATGTGTTTACCATTGGGAACACAGCTGTGTCTTGGAGGTCTACAAAACAGATCTTAGTTGCCACCTCATCGAATCATGCAGAGATTTTAGCACTTCACGAGGCAGTGCGTGAATGTACATGGCTTAGAGCCATGAATGGGCATATTCGAGATTCCTGTGGATTGGCTACCACAAAAGATCCTACGATCATATTCGAGGATAATGCAGCGTGCATTGAGCAAATGAAGACGGGCTTCATTAAAGGTGACAACACCAAGCATATAGCTCCAAAGTTTTTCTTCAATCAGCAACAGCAAGAGCTCAAACAAATAATGATCCAGCAGATCAGAAGTCAGGATAATTGCGCTGATTTATTTACTAAGTCATTACCTAAAGTCACTTTTGAAAAGCATGTTAAGGCTATTGGCCTGCGTAGATTATCTGAGCTCGCTCCCTTAAAGACATCAGGGGGAGTTAACTTGAGGGGGAGTACCCTGTAGGTACTCAGTATCCAGAAGATACCTAGATGCCCTATTGTACTCTTTTTCCTTTTTTGCGGGATTTATTTTCCCACAGGGTTTTTGGTTACCCGCTAAAGGTTTTAACGAGGCAATATAGCTGATTGGAAAGATTGTGCGTTGTACTATTTTTCCTAACCGAGGTTGTTTTGTCCCACTGGGTTTTATTACTCGGAAGGTTTTAATGAGGCAACATGAAATGCACAATAGTGGTTTTGATAGGAATCCCCAAGGGGGAGTGTTGTAAATAATATGTGTGTGGGGTTTCCTAAAGTGGGTCCAGCATCACTAACCTACCCCATGTCTTCCCATTATGTGTTAGTGGTAGAATAACCTCTTGTGTAACTTCTCTTGTAACTCCCGGTGGTTTTTCACCTATATAATGGAATTCTCCCTCCCCCATATTTACACCCTTATTAATTTCTCTCTACGGATTTTTGTCTTTGCATTCTCTCTCTATCCTTTATTATTGTTGCTATACTTTATTTTCCACAATCATCAAACCGAAAAGCAATACCATTAGGGCGATTTACAACACTTTATCTTATCTAAATTATATGTGTGATCGTGTGAAGAACAATATGTATCGTGGGGCTCGAATGCTTGGATAGATAGCTACAGACGATTGCGAGCTTCGATTGAGAAATGCGGATCCAACTCCGCAGAAAACAGAAGCTTCTCAGATTCAACTGAAAGTTCTAGCTTTACTGGTGACCAGCCAGTTCACGAGCGCCCTCAAGACATTTACGCCTGCAAGAATAACTCAACATTATCATGAAAAGTTGAGTAGCAGATTTATATCGCGTCATGTTGATCATTAGAGAGATCATCTCGGGTGATGTCTCGAGAACTGAACGACTCAT